TCCGTTCTCCTTTGGTGCTGTGTTGACTATTCTGGCTCGTTGACTTTTCTATATACACTTTAGGATCCGTTTATCAATATCCATAGAGTAAATTGCTGGGAGTTTGAATGAGACTGGATTGACTCTGTATATCTAAGTTGGGAAGAACTGGCATCTTAACAATATTGAGTCCTGTCCTGGTGATGTAATGGTTAAGCAGTTGCCTGCTTAAAAAAAAACAATTGCAGGCGAAATATGTGGCGGTATGCTTCCCTAAAGATTTACAGCCTTGGAAACCTCATGGGAAAGTTCTGCCCTGCCCTACGGTGGCGCTAAGGGTCGGACATGCCAGCAAGTGTCGTTTTTGGTTTGTCCATGAACGTGAACTCTATCTCCTTTCATTTATACCTTTGAGTTCTTCGATGAGAGTTTCATAGTTATCCTCATTAAATCTTGTACATATTTTGTTTGATTTTACCTGTCTAACATCAGAGGGGAGTATGAAAATCAAGATTGGTCCAAAGCAGATTGCATCAAGTAGGAGGTCCACCCTGTTGACCAGTTCTGACACCAGCCATCCCTCCCATGACACTCTCTGCTTTTCTGCTGGGTTCAATCATTAGTTACAGTGGCCACACAGAACTCACAGTTAGGTGTTTTGTTAAGGGAGTAGCAGGGTACAGCTCACTATCAGAATCAACAGGCTTGCATACAAGTCAGGGTCGGGAAACACACAGGCAGAGTCCAGAAGACTCCCTCAAGGTGGAGGCAAGCTCTCTCAGCTCCTTAGGCCATTACAGGTAAGCAGGCCTCCTCTGGGCCTCCAGCTGTCCTGCGGGCAGCCTCTCCATTGCTAACTGGCACAGCCCATGGCTACTGCAGCCGCTGTGCGCTCTCCTAGCCACATGCTAGCAACAGGTTTCTGCCGTTGCGGCCAGCTGCTTGCTGTGAGAGCCCTTCTGGACCCTTCCTTTCCTAACCAGTTACAGCTCACTTGAGGGTCCCTCACCTCACCCCTCTCTGCTGCTTCTGTCTTCTTGCCTCTTTTCCTTCTTTCTTCCTTTGTTCTGTCTGCCAATCATTCCTCATCTGTTTCAAGGCATGGCCCTCCACCAGGGCCATGAATTACCAGCTCCCCTCAGTAGGCCACACGTTTTCTTTGCATACTAGACTATATAGTAACTTTATTTGCATCATCTAGCTATTTCAGGGTACACAGTGGCTTTGTGGGATAAGCACTGGACTGTGAACCACAAGGGCAGCAGTTCAAGCTGACCAGCCACTCTGTGGGAGAAAGATAAGGCTTTCCGCTGCAGCAAAGATTTACAGTCTTAGAAACCCTACACAGGGTCATTATGAGTTGGAAATGACTCTCGATGACACTTAACAACCTAGGGATTTCATTTGCATAGACTATGGACCAGTTCCTGCAAGGTGCCTAGGACCAGACAAAACATCAAACCACAAATTGTTTACTGTATACCCAAGAGCTGTCAATCAACCTGGACAAAAGGACCCAGCTCTCTAGGGGCTTAGAGGGAAATCTCTCCCAACAGTTTCTGTAAAGTACCAGATGCACCACAGTAAGCATATCATTCCTTTTCTTTTCTTTGTAATAAAGTAAATGTTGTTGTATGTATAATTTATAATCCAACTGTTCACTGCTGGTATATAGGAAAGCAATGGACTTTTGCATGTTAGCCTGTGTCCTGCAAACGAATTCATTCCAGAAGAGGTTTTAGTTGTTGTTAATTCTTTTGCATTTTCTATATAGATGATCCTATCATCTGTGAACAAAGACCATTTATTTTTTCATTCTAGATTCTATCTTTTATTTAATTGTTTTGAGTAATTACACTAACGAGTACAGTGTTGAATAGAATTGCCGAGAGAAAACATCTTTACCTTGTCCCTAATCTTGATGTAAATTTCTCTCCATAAGTATGATGTGAGCTCTGGGGTTTTTGGTAGATTTTCTTTGTCCAGTGGAGGAAGTTCTCTTCTGTACTTAACTTACTGAGATTTTGTTTGGGTTTTAATTCATGAATCAGTGGTAGATTTTGTCAAGTGCATTTTCTGCCTCTATTGATCTGATCATGTGATTTTCATCTTTAGTGCGTTGGTGGGATGGATTCCATGAATTGATTTTGAATGTTGATCTGATCATGTGATTTTCATCTCTTTAGTGTGTTGACGGGATGGATTCCATGAATTGATTTTGAATGTTGTACCTGTGCAGGGTTATATGAGTCGGAATCACCTTGGCGGCACTTAACACCAACCGGCTTGAATTCCTAACATGGTTGGACCTGATTTGCTAGTAGTATGTTGGGATTTTTGCACCTATGCTGCTGGGAACTGCTGGCCTGTACTTTCCCTGCCGGTTTGGACTATTCCTACCAGTCGTAGTGAAGCCCCGGGGAGGCGCTGTGGGTTCAGGCGTCAGACTGCAGAGCCGTTTGAACTGTAGGGCAGAGGTTCAAGCTCACCAGCTGGTCCTTGAAAGCCCTATACAGGGTCGCTATGGGTCGGAATCGACTCAACGGCACTTCACAACACCAACATAGGTAGTAATGGAGCCCTGGTGTGGCACTGCAGATTAATGCGCGCTGGACTGCAAGATTGGTTTGAACTATAAGGTCAGTGGTTCAAGCTCACCAGCTGCTCCTTGGAAACCCTATACAGAGTCTCTATGGGTTGGAACCAACTCGACAGCACTTAACAACAACAACAGTAGTAGTATTAAGGACCCCTGGTGGCACTCACTGTAGAATAAGCGCTGGACTTCTAAATAACAAGAGCAACTTCTAATAAGATCAGCAGTTCCAACCCACCAACCACTCCATGGAAATAAGATCAACTGTCTGCTTCTGTAAAGCTTTGCAGCTTCAGAAACCCTAGGTTGGTGTTGTTAAGTGCCATCGAGTTGGTTCTGACTCACAGTGACCCTGTGCAGGGTTTCCGAGGAGTAGCTGCTGGGTTTGAACCACAGGCTTTGTGGTTAGCAGTCCAGTGCTGATCCTACAGCGCCGTACCAAGACTCCCAGAACCCTCTACAGTGTGGAGTTCTGCACGCTCTCAGTTCTGGTTGTAATTTTCTGATTCACTAACATCTAAACATCAAGATGCCACTATTATAACCAGCGTCTACGCTTCACTTTGGGGTGGGCTCAGTCACATTACTGCATTCACATGCACATCATGCATGTGCGCACACACATACATGCACTTGGTTAGCAGCTAGTAACTGGAGGTTCAAGTTGGGTGCGGGCAAGTGGGAGGTCACCTGCCAAATTGTTATTCCAGCCCAGAGCTCTGGGAGTCAGCACAGAGCATCTGTTGCAAGTAGCCAAGGCCACCTTGACAAGAAAGTGTCAGTGTGTGTGTGTGTGTGTATGTGCGTGTGTGTGTATAAATGTGCGTATGCATGTAATGTGAGTGTATGTATGTGTCTGTGGTTATATTTGTGTGTGTGTGTGTGTGTGTGTCTTATAGAATGGGTGTGTGTGCATAAGAGTATGCACGTGCATGTCTCTGCATGAGTGTGTACATGTGTGTATGTCTCTGTGAGTATACGTGTGCATGCATGTCTCTGTGTGAGTATATGTGGGTATGTGTGATTGTATGTGTCCATGTGTGTATCTGTGTAATTATATGTATGTCTGTGTGAGTATGTGCTCATGTGTATTGTGTACATGCATATCTGTAGTAATATATGTGTACGTATGTTTGTGTATATGTACGTGTGTGGGTATATGTATCTGAGAATGTGTGTGCACATGCCTGTGTGTGTCCGTTTGTGTGTATGGGAGTATATGTACGTGTAATTGTATGTGTCCATGTGCGTGCATGTGTGTATCTGTGTGGGTATATGTATATATGTCTCTGTGTGTCTGTACGTGTGTATGCATGAGTATATGTGTGCGTGTGTATGTTCAGGTGTGAATATATGTGTGCATGTCTGTGAGTATATGTGTGCAAGTGTGAGTATATGTGTACACATGTATATGTCAGTGTGAGTATACATGTACTCTGTGTGTGTGAGTAGATACGTGTGTGGATATGTGTATATGTATACATCTGTTGGTATACATGTGTGTCGGTGCATACATGTGCAGCTGTATTGTACATGCATATGTCTCTGTGTCTTGTATGTTTGCATGTGTTTCCATTTATGCACACCTGTGACTATGTACACATACATGTGGTTGTGTGTGTGGCTATGCATGTACATGTGTTTATTGTGAGAGTATGTGTTACATATGTATGGCTATGTGCGTGTGCATGTTTGTGAGTATGTGTGTGTGGGTGTATGTGTACATGTGTGATTAAGTTATATGCATAAAGGTGTGTGTCTGAACATAACATTGACATGTAGACGTGTGTCTGCAGGCATGTGTATGTAAGTGTGTACTTGTGTGGGCATGGGTGCACGTGTAAGGATATTATGTGATCATGTGTACACGTGTGTGGATGTGTGTGTGTGTGAGTATGCGTGGTGTGTGTCTATAATTTGTGTCTATCTGCATACATGTTTGTTTATACATATTTATATTCTCTCTTCATGTGTATGTATTTCATGTGTATGTATGCCCACGTCTCTGTGTACATACACATAAACCAACTCAACAGCACTTAACAACAAAATGTACATGTATGGTTATGTCTGTGTTTGTATATATGTATACATATGTATATTTTGTGTGTGTGTGTGTGTATTTGCATATGTGTGTATATGAAGTCCTGGTGTGGGCTGTAAGATAAGCACCGGACTGCTTAGTTGGCAGTTCAGAAACATGGTCACTGAGTTGCACTTACTGACAATGTGGGTCTATTGGCCTTTCTGTGTATGCATGTCATGCATAACTATGTTGTGTGTTCCTGCATAGCGGTCTTATATGGAGTTTCCATGGAGCAGCTGGCGGGTTTGAACTGCCAACCTTGTGATTAGCAGTCCAGTGTGTTTATGTGGTGTATGTGTGTGTATGTACACTTGTGCACACACACACACCCCTCTGCAGGTTCTCCCACGGTCAGGTGGTAGCTATGGATGAACTTCGGCCCTTCCAGGACCCGGACCTCAGCTCCCTGCAGGCGGGCTCTGCATGTCTGGCCAAGCACCAGGATGGCCTGTGGTACTCAGCACGGATCACTGGTGAGGTGGCCACTGTGCCCCTGTCTCCTTCCTGGGCTACCATTCCCTCTGCTCTTGGGGGTTTTCCCGGACTCACTGGTGCTCCCTGTCACGTGGCCCCTACCGCCTTCCTAGCATGGGGCTTTGCAACCCGGCTCTGAGGTCCTAGGTGAACAGGAGGGGGGTCCTGTCGTCAAGGGCAGGGCTCAGAATAGTGGTACCCACCCCCACCCCGCCACCCCTCCACCCCTGCCCCTGTTGGGGCCGCTGACCTGGGCTTGCTCTGGGCCGTTCCAGATGTGGACAGTGGCTTCTACACCATCAAGTTTGACTCTCTGCTGCTGAAGGAGGTGGTGGTCGAGGGGGACAGCGTGCTGCCGCCGCTGCGTAAAGAACCCACTGAGTCCTCGGACTCTGACAGCAGCGACCCGGATGACTGCAGCTATGCTAGAGGTGTGGGGAGGGGAAGAGCCGCTGGGTCCGTCAGTCTTGTGCTCAGCGCAGGATCTCAGTTGAGTTGAGGGATGAGGACCTCTGGGGGCCAAAGCCCACCAAGAGCAGCAGGACTGGCCCTTGGGAGCCGACTTGGCGGCGCGGGTGGGGGTGGGGGGCAGAAGTGTGACCTCTACCTCCCTCGCCCCCAGATCCCACACTCCAGCCAGCTAGGAAACTGGAGTTGGTAGCGCCTGAAGCCTTGTTTCCATGGTGATGGGGCGGAGCTTGTAGAGGAGGTGGGGTCTGGGAGTAGAAACCTGGCTGGTATCTGTCAGCAGGCCTAGTGTTAATGAAGATCAAGAGGAGCCTGCAGAGCGAAGGGGCAACTAGGGGACCACAGTGAGGGTACTGCTGTCATGTGAACCTACGCAGACCTGTGGGTTCAGGCTGCATGCGACCGACGTGGCACTACCTCTGTTCCCACAGTCCTGGACTCCGGGCCCGCAGCAGAGGACGGGCCAAGCAGCGCCGCCTTCGCAGGCTGGGAAGTGCACACGCGTGGTATCGGCTCCAGGCTCCTTGCCAAGATGGGCTATGAGCCTGGCAGGGGTGAGTGCGCTGTCCTGGGAGACGTGGGGGGCCTTAGTGGGCTGAGGGATTTGTGTCTGTCTGTGTGTGCTATCCTGGAGGGGCCCGGGAAGGGTGGGTACATTGTCCTTGGGGGAACCAGCACAGCCGGCACCTATGTCTCCCCAGGTCTAGGCCGAAATGCACAGGGCCGGGTGGAACCCATCCAAACAGTGGTGTTGCCAAGAGGGAAATCTCTGGACCAGTGTGCGAAGGCCCTCCAGAGGAGAATGAGGGGCGGCAAGGCGGGCACCCACAGGCCCCCCAAGGGCCCGGGAAAGGGGACGGTGCCTGCAGGCCGCCCACCCCCTCGGAACGTGTTTGACTTCCTAAACGAGAAACTCCAGACTCAGGCTTCTGGGGCTCTGGAGGGGGGGGCAGGCCCCACAGGGCTGAGGGGTGGCAAGGAAACCTACAATGCCAGCAAGAGCACCAAGCGAGCTCTGAGCCTGCGGCTCGTTCAGACCGAAGAGCAGATCGGGCGCACCCAACGGGACATCCGGAGCATCCAGGAGGCCATTGCCCGCAATGCTGGCAGGTACACGGTGCAGGCTCGGGGCTGATTCTAGGAGGGTCTGGCTGACTGCGGTGGGGCTAGGGACACCTGGGTTTGACAAGTGTGGCCCACACTGACCTCAGACCCTCTACAGGCACAGCGTGGCCGCAGCCCGGCTACAAGAGAAGCTGGTGGGTGCCCAGCGGCAACTGGGGCAGCTCCGGGCTCAGGAGGCAGGACTGCAGCGGGAGCAGAGGAAGGCAGACACTCACAAGAAGATGTCTGAGTTCTAGCTCTTCTTCCAGCCTCTGATGGACCCAGGGACCCTGAAGAGGGGCTGGCTGTTCCCCGGGCTGGGCCCAGTGCCTCCTCTGGCCAGCTGAGCCCATGGGAGGGGGTGGGACCCCTCTGGACATATTTGCCGGTGTCTTAAATTGTCTTGAGCCAGGACATTAAAGTAACTCCATGACACACCCCTCAGTGGAGACTTGGCTGCTGTAGGATCTTTGAGGGGAGGGAGGACTGGACTCTAGGGGTCTAGGGGAAGCCAGGAGGACTGGCATCGTCACTTTTCCAGATGGGGCTACCTGCCCCTCTCCTGCGCTTGCAGAGAGCCCTAAGACAGGGTGGAGTGCTGGGTGCGCCGGGGAGAGATTAGGCCCCGTAGTGGCCATCTGGGGTTGTTAATGGTAGCTGGGGTCGCCTAGCATGGGCCCTAGCTTCCTCTTGCCAGGTGATCTTGTCACACGCACAGGGGACACCATCATGCGAGGAGGGTGGGACGCACATCCTTCAAACCATAAGCATCAGCCAGTATCTTCCTGAGTCACATATAGACTGGGGGTGGGAGTACAGCTGTGGCAGGTGGCGGGCTGCGGCGGTGGCTAGGTGGGAGGTACTGAGAGACACATGGCAGGAAATGAGGTGGGGGCACAACTTCGGCACGCCCATGCTGCCGGAACCGCCCAGAGGCTGAGAAGGCGCCACAGTGCCCAGGCTGGGTAAGAGCTGCATGGGGGGTGACGGGTCAGGGCCTGGAGCACCCTTGGAGTCCTGCCAACCAGGGAGATTTGAGAGTGAGCTAGAGACTCGGCCTGCCCCCTTCCCCCCCTCACTTCCTCTCTTGTCTCCCCTTTCCTCTGTTCCCCTGCTGGTCTAAGAGCAGGGCTGTGTGCTGAGTGTATTACCTAACTTCAGCAGCCCTAGGACCCCAGCAAGGGGACCATCGTGTGTAGTGGGGTGGTAAACAGGGAGAACTAAGAGCCAGACAAGTGAGTGGGCTCTCAGCTCCCTGGGTATCAGCAGGCCTGGCCACCTGAGGCTGCCAGCCGCAAGCCCAGGGTGTGTACTTAGGGCCTTCCCCAGGCCACAGGTTTGGGCTGCAGTGACCACAGTGGGACTGAGGCAGTCCACAAGTGTCTGTCCCTCCTCACTGCAGATGCTCCGCTGCCACCCCTCACCTCTGAGGTCCTCTCATCCCCCTCACCAGGACTGGTTGGGGGTGCCGGGGGGGCCCCTGGGGAGAAGGACGCAGGCTGCAGCTTCCTGTGCGCTGAGTCAGCGCACACTCAGAGCCAGCCAGTCAGGCAGAGCTCCCGGGCCCCAGTGTCCTCTCTCTATTCTAGGCAGGTCGGTGTGGGGATGGGGCCACAGCTGCCCTCAGCCCCTCCTGCCCTCTGGGTCCTCGCTGGCTCCATGCTGCTCCTTGGGGTGTGGGTACTGTGCACAGCCTGCCACAGGTACGTCCATCTGTGCCGGTTTCCCCTGGGGAGTGGTGCAGGCCCAAGGATGGGGCCAGGGTGTGAAGGGGGTGCTAATGACAGTCCCATCTCAGCCACCCTGATCTGATGGTCCCCTCACCCCCAGGAAGCGGGTGTCGAGGCCGCAGGCAGGACTGCAGGGGGCTGAGATGTTGGCCAACTCGGTGAGTGTCAGGTGGTCCCCCCGCTGGACTGGGGCAGTGGGCCGGGTACCAACCAGTCTCCCTTGCTTCCTTCCAGTCACTATTGAGACAGACCCACCTCTGCTCCCTCAGCAAGTCGGACACTAGGCTGCATGAGCTACACAGGGGTCCTCAAGGCAGCCGAGGTGAGGGGGCCACGGGCATAGAATGTGGGACTGGGATTCAGGTTAGGGCCTGGGGTGCCCCAAACAGCTGGGGGGTCATGCTGCTGTCCCTGAGTGACCTTGGACCTGACCCCCACCTCTAGCCCCTCGGCCTGCCAGCATGGACCTCCTGCGACCACACTGGCTGGAGGGGTACAGGGGCACCCTCAGGCTGCCTGAAGTGCCCCCACCCTCTCCACACCAAGAGCCGCCCTGGCCCCTGCCTGTTGTCCCAGCTCCAGCCCCCTCTGGCCTGGAGACCACCTATTCTAACGTGGGTCTGGCCGCGCTCCCCAGAGCCAGCCTGGCAGCCAGTCCTGAGGTCTGGTCAGGGGCCCAGCTGCACAGTGGCTGGGCCATGCCTGGGCTGGGACCTGTGTTGGCTGAGTATGCCTGCGTCCGGAAGCTCAAGGGGACAGACGAGTGCCCCCAAGAACATCACAGAAAGACTGAGTTGAGCCCAGTCACCCAGGTGGGCAGGGCGGGGAGGGGGGTGGGGGAAGGTAGCTGGGAGGATCTTTGACCAATGAGTGGTGCTGACTCACTCTGGGGGGCTTCTCTCTCCAGGTGGACAGCCTGTACTCCAGGGTCAACAAGCCTAAAAAGAGGGACGCAGGGTCCACCACGGAGCAGCTGGATTCCAAGGGTACAGGCTCTTCACAGGCCCACCTGCAGAGGAGCCCTGGTTTGGACCATGACCCCCAGGAAAATGTGTATGAGAGCATCCAGGAGCTGAGCCATGAGCCCCGGAGTCTCCCAACCGGCTGTTAGCGGGGGTGGGGACACATGCAGGGCACCAGCCACGCCTGCCCTCCCAGCCTCTGAGAAGGCTTGGGAACTTGGTGTGGACTGTAGAGGCCTGAGTTTGAATAAATTCATTTCTAAGAACTAACGCTGTGCCTCAAAGCTGCAGTTCCTGAAAACCTGGGAAGATCAGCGGATTGCCTGGAAGGATGATGGGCCACCAAGCTGGTGCCCTGCCACGGGAACAGAGGCTGGGGGCAGAAGTGGCTGTCGCCTGAGGTCATCATGCCCAGGCAGGCCAGGCTGGAAGGCAGAGGAGAGGGAAAAATCAAGGCAGTGACCCCACGAGCTTTGCGGAGGATCTGGATCCTGGGCGTGCACTCCGCTAGAAGCCCCGCTGTTGCACTGCCTGCGGTCAGAGTGGGCGGCAGGCAGTGCTTTGGAAAGTAATCTGCGTCCAGCAAGCCCGCCAAGGAGACGCAGCCCTACCGGGGCTCTATGACTCCGCGGGCACACCTCTAGGGGAAGCGGCCTCTCCCACGCAGCGTGCGACTCAGCCCGGCGTGAGGGACGAGGGTGGAGCCGGGCCAGGGGCGGTCACGGCCTGCGCTCCCGCTCCGCCCCATCCTCCCTGAGCGCGGGAGCGGCCTGGGCGGAGTGGAGTGGCGCGGGGCGGGGGTGGGGGCGGGGCCGGGC